CATAAAGCTTGGGTCAGAATTCATCTCTGCATTCCAACATGTGGCCTATTGATTATTATATTTGTTCAGGGATTTCTGGAATAAGATCAATGCCTCTCAGGAGGACTGGTTTTCCTACCCGGTGAGTGACTAGCCACCGCATGGGGTGTCGTGGTGCTCCGCTGGCTGTCTTCTTTGTCACGGACTGTGCTTTCTGCCGTCGGCAGATCCTCTATGTGAATGTCTGGTTTACTCTCTGTACTTGCTGGCACCTATTGGAGATGTAAAAGAGGCAAAACAGAAATAAAACCTAATGTTTTAAAATAGATACTGTGGCTTATAACAGAAAAGGATTTAAGGTGGCATAAATATATAAAATTTATGCTGACATAAATTTAAAGTGGAAACAAGAAAAAAAGAAAGAAAGAAACAACAAGAGTGGAGATGAAAATAAAACCAAATCTACTCCTGAAATGAATGCCAAGTGTTTAGCATGCTGACTTCCCAGGGTCTGAATTCTTCAGAAAACACTGGATCACTTGGCTTTAATTCTCTCTCCCTTGAACTTGAATGGCACCTTTTCCCTGTAACATTTATTTGGTACATGTTATGTTGTATCATACGTCAACACCTTCCCTCCCCCAATTAGAGTGATAGCTAGCCTTTATTGAGAGCTTAGTATGTGCCAGGCCTTTAAATAGCTTCTCATTTACTCCATGAAAAACCCTATGAATAAATCCTATTATTAGTCCTACAGTGTAAACAAGGCTTAGAGAGATTAGATAATATGCCCAAACTCACACAGCCAGCATGCAACAGAATTTTGACTCCAAAATTCATGCCAGTAGAGCATCAACAAATAGGCTCGTGAGCACAGCCAACAAAAACAAAAATAGGTAAGTGGGACCATGCACAAAGGACACAATCCAGAGAGTGCAAAGGCCATCAGCAGGATGGGAGGAAGTATTTGCAAATCACGTATCTGGTAAGGATATAAAGAATTCCTACAACTCGATAGCAAAAAACACATCAAGTAACTTGATTACAAAATGGGTAAAGGGACTTGACTAGAGATTTCTCCAAAGATGATACACAATGAACATGTGCAAGATGCCCACTAATATCACTGATCTTCAGAGAAATTCAAATTAAAATCATAAAACTATTGCTTCACACCTGTTAGGTGTGGGAGACTTCTAGGTTTGAAGCCTGCCCTGAACAAAGGTGTCATGGAATTAATTTGTAGTAACTATCAAAAGAAATGAAAAGAATGTGTTGGCAAGGATGTAGAAAAATTGGAACCATTTTGCATTGTCAGCGGGATTGTAAAATGGTCCAACCACTGTGAAAAACAGGATGGAGATTCCTCAAAATATTAAAAATAGAACTATCGTATGATCCGACAATCCCACTTCAAAAGAACTGAAAGCAAGGTCTGGACGATAGAGCCTCACGTCCATGCTCATAGCAGCACTGTTCACAATAGCCAAGAGTTGGAAGCAACCCAAATGTCCACTGACAGGTGAAGGGATAAACAAAGTGTGGTATATACATACAATGGAATAATACCCGGCCTTTAAAAGGTAGAAAATTCTCATACATGCTTACAACATGGATGAACTTTAAGGGCATTATGCTAAGTGAAATAAAACATTCAGAAAATATCCTTGCATGTGATCACATATATATATATAAGAAGTATCTTTGTATGTGATCACATGTATGTAATGAACATGCTTGCATTATGATCACAAGCCTATGGAGCAGATCCCTCTTCCTGTGATACTCACCAGAGTTGTCAAGCCACCAGATTCATGGGGCTCTTCACTGGCACCTGTAGTCACCACGTCATCTTCTATACCTGGGTTCCCTGTGTTACCCTCCATACGTGTAGTCATGTCATCTTCTGGCCGAACTGTGCTGGCTAAAAAAGAAAAACTTGAGTCAGGACGTAAGGGGGAAATCACGTGGGCCAACCCGACTGGCCAGCTGCAATCAGACTATTTTCTTTCCCATTTCTTTTGGGGATTTTCTTCTGAGGGGGGTCATCTTTTAAGTTGATCACAAACCATTCGCTTGCTGCACCTCTGTCACATACAATGGCCTGGCTGTCTCTATAGCAAAACAAAGGAAGATGGAAATACAAAAATGTGAAGCGGCCAGCCCCTCCCCACTGAGGTGGGCTGGACAGGGGGTGGACACTTGGCCTTTTAATAATGAACCAAATTCTTCCTGATGCCCTTTCATATGATAAATCAATGAATTCAGGTTACAAAAATATTTTGACCTGGAAAAATTCTAAATTAGAGTCATCTGGAAAGATTTCTAAATATACCAATTTGTAGGCTCTATCTCAAATCTACTGTATCAGAATGTGGAAAAGCAGGGTCTCTCCACCTTCTTAAAATCAAGCTTGGTCTCTATTGAATTTTGAAGTTGCTGCCCACTTGATGATTAGAGCCATTGGCTTTGACCACAAACGTTACAGATTTGAATCCAATCTCTTACTTTACAGTTGGGGTTAACATCCGCAGGGAAGGGTCAGTAATATACTTAATGGTGCTGAGATAACCAACAGAACTTAGTGCCCTGAGAGCTACACTCATTAGAGACCTTACTGCCCCCAGAGGTGCTTTTTCTGCATTAACATGGGATGAATGACCCTGTTGTGCCAATGAGAAAGGTTTCCAGAGGAGCAGAGGATGGGTGGGATGGGATAGCAGGTTGAATTCCACGACGGGGTGGGGAATAACAGTGGTGGCCTCTGTAACCTCCTGTTGCAGTGATCCAAACCGATCCTGACCGAACTGCCTCATATCTCAACTCATCAACTAACCCCGTTTTAAAAAATCTCACTCATTGGCCACAGTGTCCCTCCCCAGACCCAGAGTGACTCTGGAAATTCGGTAGCTAAATTCAGTTGCAAAATAAGCATTTCCAGGGAAAAGAAGGGTTTGCTTAGAAATTTCTTAGTATAATTAAAGAGCAGATGTTTGCATCTGGCAGTGATCAAGATAGCAATACGGTCCTTGCCTTAAGTCTCCCTAAGCTGAGCCCAGTCAAAGGCATAGCTAACAGATATTCTGTCCTAACGTCTTTGCTGCTGCATAGAGAGAGAAAGCATCTAGAGTGAATGTGCTCATTCTATGAGCCTTCTCTTTGTATCTAGAGTCTTAATCCAGTGCTGACACATTCATAGCTTTGGATGAGCCCCCCAGAATATGCATTTGTTTTTCATCCGGAGGGGAGAAAAAGGCTTTCATCAGTCAGCAATAACTGAATACCTCAATGCATGCAAATAGTTTGCCTTCCCCTCCTGACTGCTTGCTGGGATTGGGGGGTGGGTAGTGATTGGTTCCCACCAGGATTTATGACTCTGTGGTGTAGGCAGATGCGAAAGGTATTTATCAAGCTCAAGGGGAAATATCCCTTTGCCAGGCAAGTACCCCTTATTTTTAAAAACTAGGCATCACATTTTTTTTCTTCCTCTCCTGATTTAAACACAGTTTATAAATCATCCATTTTCATAATACTTTCTGGAGCTGTTCAGCAAAATCACTTCACTGTAGGCATCCTCTCACTTTAAAAAAGCCAAACCAAACCACCCTTGCTTTAAAAAAAAAAAAAAATCAGAATGTGGAAAAGCAGTTGGTTTGAATTCTTTCATAGAAACTTCAGTTCATTGAAAGCGTAGCTTGATAAAAATTCCTTCTTGTTCTTTTCTACTCTTGGTCCACAGAGCCAAGTACTAAAATCGCTCTGAATAGACAAAGGGCATTTTATGAATGACACTCATGATTAAGATGCATGTCTTTTGTCTCACTGCCTGAGCATTCTTTTCACTCCCTGGGAAAGTTGATCTTTAACAAGAGATCTTCAATTGTCCCTCTTCTTATTTCCACCGAAGGCTTTCCTGGGGGAAGGGTTCCTAGGAGGCCAGCGGCTGAGTTTCCCAGCCAGCCCTCAAGGCCCTCTTCCCTTGAACGGTGAAATTCAAATCATGTTTTGGTGTCTTTGCTCTCCAATCCTTTTCCTCTCCTCAGACACGTGTGTGCACAGACAACACACACAATTGTTTTTGTAAGCACGGGGATGAACTTGCAATAACAGAGTCAGTTCTGGAGCCGGGAACCCACACGCTCACACGAGCATCTCTTCCTGCCTCACCCAGCCTGTGGGTCAGAACCGACGGAGGTTCCCAAACGCAGCAAAAACTCATCCATTTACTTTGTAATTTTTGTACGTGCGCTAATCTTTAAAAAGCTCAGCAAAAGTTACATTACCTAAGAGAAGATGTTGTGATAAATCAGCTTTTACCTTAAGGTTCTTAAGTTTGAAATCAGACAAGAACTGAAGAGATGCTTATTGGTAGGAAAGTGTAATTATATATAATTTTTATGCTTGCACTGAAGCCCAAGATGTCTAAAGAAATTATTCTAGCTTCCATATGTTTATAAGATGGCATTTCTTTAACAGTATTTTAGAATGTATGTGCGAAGTCAAATCATGCTGTAATTTAAAGTGCACTTATTATTATTACACTGTAATGTAAATTATTGTAATTGAATTGTAATAATCCCAAATTCTTGGTAAAAATCTGACTAAGTGTTTTCAGTCTTCTGGTTTTATTTACATTTCTTTGATAAGCAGTGGTGAGTGGTTCCATCTGTTGGGCATTAGGAATGTCTTCTTTTGTGACCATTTTACTACTATGGTTTTCATCTTTTTTATAGCTTTATAGGCCCTCTTTATTCTTAAGAACATCGTCTTTGGAGTAGAGGCTGCAAACACTTTTATAAAACTAGTTGGCATTTGCAACTCTCTTGTAAGTAGTGAGCTCTGTCACTAATCAAACTTATTAAGCTTATTTTGTCCCTTTGATGTCATACATACAAACCCCACCTCAATATTATGTAAATATTCACCTATATGTTCCTTATGGTTATGCCTTTATACTTTATATTCATCTCATGTTTGTTTTGAATTAGGATGTAAAATGAGGAAATAACTGCATTTCCCCTAAAAGATTACCCAGGTGTCCCAATAAATGTGCTTTACCCCACTGCTTCAAAACCGGCTTTCACGGAGGCAGATGTCACTTTCAAATATTGTGTCACAGTCATGGGAGAAACCTTTCAGCACAAGACCAGTATAAATGGCCTGGGCCTTACCATTGACCCCCTTACATACCACCAACTCTTTCCAGAACCAATTCCTAAATCTATGCCCCCTCTCATCAGTTCCCTCTTCCTCTTTACATCACCTGACTGCTGCCGAGTTATTCAGCACCAAGGAGTGGCCAGAATAAAACTGGCACAGAGAGTGAGAAGGAAGAGCAGGCTACTCAACGGAAGGGCACCGAGATCTTTCCGGGGTGTAGGTAGGTTCTACTTAACACAGAGGCATAGCTTTACATGGAAACCCTCCCTCAGGTTTCTCAGCCATGCAGGCAGCTGTGCGGCTGACTCCATTCCAAAGTGGCCCAATGCGTAGGTTGCCTGCATTATCGTCCCCATTTATCAGATGAGGAAAGTGAGGTTGACAAAGACTTCTCCTTGACCAAACTTTAGTTAGGTTCCCCTGAGCTTTTTCCTCAATCCCAGAGGCCATGACCCTGGGAGTCTGTGTCCTTCCTTACAGAGTCTAGTTTCAACAAGAACCCAGCTAAGTCAGTTTAGAGAGAATCTCCCACACTCCGTATCTGATCAAGTCCCCCTTTGATGTCAAAGTCCTTGGCCTGCCTTTAGCAAGATTCCTCTTAGGCCGGTTTAACAAGAATCCCCCTACCCTCTGATGTCTCGTCTTCACAATTTTCCATTTACTGACTCCCACACTCTCTGCTCCTTGGCTATAAATCCCCAGCAGTCTGTTGAATCCAGAGTTGAGCCCTCTCTCTCTCTCCCTTATTGTGATGGTCTCAAACAAGATCTTCTGTTTCAACTGTTGTCAGAATAATTTTTCTCTAACCACACTAGAAGTTAAGTGATTTGCCAAGTTCACCTGCTTGGTGAGTAGACACAAAGCCAAGCGTTTTGACAGTTCATCCGTGTACCCACCAACACAGGCCCAAAGAGTATCTCTGTGGCTCCGTGGCAGCTGTGGGCTGGAGAGCCTGCTGCCCCCTCCTTGGGTCCTGACATCCTTGCACTTCCCTTCCCCAGCCCTCCTCACCCCCTGGTAAATTATAATCCTGGGGCATCAGAAGCAACTGCTTCCTCTGATACCTCACCTGCTCTTAGGAAATCTCATCTGTTTAGAATCTTCCAATCAAATAATTTAGGGACAATCTCAATTTCCTGAAATAAGTCCCCTCCAGGACTAAGCTTTCAGAGATAGATTAGAAGGAGGGTGTGATCTGCTTTACAAAAGGGTGTAGCTCTTGCTCCACAACTTAAAGCTGCAGCAGTGATCAAGACTGGATCCCGTGTATCCCCATTCCTGTACTCCTGCCACGTGCTGGGCCCCGTTCTGGGCCCTGGAGACGGAGGAGTGGACAAGGCGAGGTCTCCACTCTCAAGGACTTGGGTACTGTTGGGGGCGCTCCTAACAGACAAATGTGGAGAATCTCCAGACAGTGGTCCTGCACTCCCTTGAGACCTCTGCTTCTACTTTCCTGGGGAAGTAACCTCTGCAGTTACCTTCCTGGGGAGGCCTATCCCCCAAGCCCCACTGAAGTCAGTACCCCCTGACACACCCACCCACAGGCCCAGTACTTCCCACTAATGATCACATATTCTGGCTGCCCTACTAGCAGATAAGCTCCATAAAGGCTGTTTTACCAATGTCCCCTTGCCTAAAACACTTGGCACATAACAGGCACTCAGGAGGTGTTTGTTCCGTGACTGAGTGAAAGCCAGGTAGGTGAGGAGCAGGTTGAACTAACTCTGAAGCCTACAATGGGCCTGGGCCACTGCACACTTGACA